CACTGGCCTCTGTGACTCCCATGCAGAATGGGATTCTGCTTATTCTGTGGACTCTTCCTACTTCGGCACCAGCATAGATACCTTAAACTAAATCCTTTGAACAGTGCCTTAGCACTCTTAACAGCACGGGCTATTAGGCAAACCTCACAGCAGAGAATATGGGCAGTTTCAGTTGCTGTAATTATTCTGAAAGTGCTTGGCTTCACACAAAGTATTGCAGCTATTGATATTCAAGGGCTAGGTTGGGCAGACTTTCTGCAAATGTCAAGCGTAGGTACAGAATGCATAATTAAGAAGCTGATGGCATTTAAATGTAATGATGAACAACTTCACTCTGGTCAGATCAGTGAGCCAAATTTTTTAAAGGATTATCTTGCTCATGTTAGTCTGGGCATGCAAACACTGCATTTAGAATATATGTTGTCTTATCTCTTCTTCATAATGTGCTGAACAAGCATACATTTCAGAAGGCATAATGTAGAACCTGCATTGCCCCTGTTACGCATGTTCCCTTTTAGGGCCTACAGGACTCCTGTTGGATCTCGGCTAAGTGCTGGATCTCTTGAGGGGTTTTTATCCACCAGGCGTTTTTTAGTTCTCTGGTTCCTCTTTGAACCTCAGCCTTAGCGTTGGCATAGGTTTTTTTCTTAGTGGCACAGTTTCTGTCTCTTTGCCAGATCTGAAAGGCCTTCCTTTTCTTGTCAATCATGCGTTCAATCTCACTGTCATTCTCATCAAACCAGTCCTGGTGTTTCTTGGTTTGGTATCCAATAGTTTGTTCACAGGCTGCAATAATGGATGTTTTTAGCTTGGTCCAGTGTTCCTCAATGTTATCAGGGAATTCTTAAGATGGTCCTTAAGAGTCATTTGAAAGCAATCCCGCTTAATGGGATCTTGAAGGGCTTGAGTGTTCATTTTGCACCTTGGTTTCCTTCCTTGAAGCCTGTGTCGAGGTATAATCTTGATAGCCATCGTGGAGCATATTAGTCGGTGATCTGTCCAGCACTCGTCGGCACTCGTCATAGTACCACACTTCTAAAAGATAAAGAAGCTATTGCACTGCGCTGGAAAGAACATTACCAACATCTCCTTAACTCCCCCGTAGCTGCTGAGGCCCTCTCACAAATTCCACAAAAACAAGTTAGAGATTAGCTTGCAGTATCTCCAAATCTGGGAGAGTTGTGTACAGCTATTAACCAACTGAAAAACAACAAAGCCAGAGGACCTGATGGGATACCTGCCCAAGTCTTCAAAGTGCATGGAATATAACTTACACAACAACTTCACAAGCTCATCGAAAAAATCTGGGAGAGAGAAGAGATCCCAGCAGATTTTAGGGCTGCCAAAATTATCAATCTCTTTTAAAAAGATGGTAGAACTGATTGCAGAAACTATCGAGGCATCTCTCTATTAGCTGTGGCTGGCAAAATTCTTGCAAGGATGTTAGCAAACCGTCTCTTAACAATATCCAAGGTGACCCTTCCTGAATCCCAAAATGGTTTTTGGCCCTCTAGGGGGACAGTGGACATGATTTTCACTCCTCGACAGCTTCAAGAAAAATGCAGAGAACAAAACCAACCCCTGTATATGGCATTTATTGACCCGGCTAAGGCTTTCAACACTGTAAATTGTAATGCCCTGTGGACTGTCCTTCTGAAAAAAGGCTGTCCAGACAAATTTGTGAACATCATTCAGCTCCTTCATGATAATATGACAACAACAATCGCAGCTAACAATGGCTCTCAAAGTGAACTATTCACAGTGGGATAAGGTGTTAAACATGGTTGTGTTATTTTCCAACTCTATTCATTATTTTCATTGCCATGTTCCTACACTTTGTCAAAGGGAAACTCCCCACTGGAGTAGAAATCATATATTGAACAGATGGAAAGCTCTTCAATCTGAGCAGGCTGAAAGCAAACAGTAAGGTTACTGTAACTTCCGTCATAGAGCTTCAGTATGCTGATGACAATGTAGTGTGCACACACTCAGAGGATGACCTCCAAACCATCCTAAATATCTTTGCAGAAGCTTACGAAAAGCTTGGCCTGTCGCTCAGCATCCAAAAAACCAACGTGCTGCACCAACAAGTACAAAATAAACCCTCAGCAGTGCCACAAATCCAACTCAATGGAGTAACGTTGGAAAATGTCGATCGCTTCTCCTACCTGGGCAGTTATCTTTCCACAAGGGCCAACATTGATGCCGAAATCGAGCATCGCCTGAACTCTGTGAGTGCGGCTTTCTCCCAAGTGCAGAGTGCAGAGTGTTTGAGGACCAGGACATTTGCAGGGAAACTAAAATGCTTGTTTACAAAGCTATTGTAATACCAACTTTACTATATGCTTGTGAAACATGGACCACTTATAAACACCATCTCCAGCTCCTGAAAGATTCCATCAATGTTGTCTCCGAAAATTTTTACACATCACTTGGGAAGACAGGCAAACTAATACCAGTGTATTGGAAGAAGCAAAGATCACCAGTGTTGAAGCAATCAACTTCGTTGGACTGGTCATGTTGTGCAGATGTCTCATTATCATCTTCCAAAGCAACTACTCTATTCCAAACTTAAAAATGGAAAGTGTAATGCTGGTGGTCAACAAAAGAGGTTTAAAGACTGTCTCAAGGCAAATCTTTAAAAATGTAGTATAAACACCAACAACTGGGAAACACTGGCCTGTGAGCGCTCCAATTGGAGAACAGTCTTTACCAAAGGTGTCATGGGCTTTGAAGACACCCAAACTCAGGACACAAGGGAGAAACGTGCTAAGAGGAAGGCATGCTTGGCAAATCCACACCGTGATCCACTCCTGCCCGGGAACCAATGTCCCCACTGTGGAAGGACGTGTGGATCCATAATTGGCCTCCACAGTCACTTACGGACTCATTGTTAAAACTGTGTTTATGGAAGACAATCTTACTCAGCTACTAGTGATCACCAAAGAAGAAGACTTTCATTTGTAAAAGAAGCATGCTATTTTCAGCATGAGAATTTTTTTGAGTCCATGACCATTTTTGCATGAATTTCCATGACTATGACATCCGTCTAATTGATCATCATGAATCAGAACCAATGGGTTCCCACTATCCCTCAGGCATGGCAGGCACTTGGCTGCAGAACCATTAACTTGGAAGCCTTTTGGCCACTGCTGATGCAACCTATCTGACTGGCTGCAAAGCACATGTGTTTCTTTTGGTTTGGCCTTCATCAGCAAGTGTGCTGTGTCTGTGTGATTGGCCTAAGGTGTCTGCAACTTCTGATGGCTATTTGATAAATAAGGGCTCTATGCCTGATATAAGTAGGGAACTGGAGCTACTAATTAGCGGGCAGCAAGTGCATCCGTAGGAAAGTGTGCAAGGGCTATTAAGGTTTCAAAATGCTTAAACAAAGCATGTATTTGAGGAAATCCAGTGACCAGGAAGTATGAGCTCGCATGCTGGGAAGCCTAATTTAAGGCAAAGGCATTTCCTTTTAGGTGGACTATATTAAACTTCAATTGTAAATCTGTTGGTTTGGTAAATATTTTAAACTTGAGATATTAATTACAGTTGGGAACGTTTGAGGAATTTAAACAGCCCCTTCATTTTCCCTTTCTGGCAACTTCAAATGCCTCAATATCATTTTCTTCAACACCATGGAAATATTGTGTTCAGGAAGTCTACCCACATAAGTGGACATCATCTGGCAGAGGAGATTGTGACAAACCCTGAACCAGAATAGGTTTAAGTCCCTGTGTGCAGCAGCAAAAAATCATTAATCTAGGCTGCTTCAACAGAAGTATAGTGTGCCAATCAAGGGAAGTAATAGTACCACACCTGGAATCTGTGTCCAGTTCTGGGCGCCACAGTTTAAGAAAGATATTGACAAACTGGAACACGTTCAGAGGAGGGCAACCAAGATGATCAAGAATCTGGAAACCTTAGGAGGAACAGTTGAAGAAGCTGGGTCTGTTTGTCCTGGAAAAGAGGAAACTGGGAGGAGATATGAAGAAGAAGAAGAGTTTGGATTTGATATCCCGCCTTTCACTCCCCTTCAGGAGTCTCAAAGTGACTAACATTCTCTTTTCCCTTCCTCCCCCACAACAAACACTCTGTGAGGTGAGTGGGGCTGAGAGACTTCAAAGAAGTGTGACTGGTCACCCAAGGTCACCCAGCAGCTGCATGTGGAGGAGCGGAGACGCAAACCCGGTTCCCCAGATTAGGAGACTACCGCTCTTAACCACTACACCACACTGGCTCCTATGATAGCTATCTTCAAATATCTAAAGGGCTGTCACAAGGAAGAAGGAGCAATCTTGTTTTCTCCTGCTCTGAAGGGCAAGACCTGATGGTTTTGATTCCGCATTTAGCATCGTTGTCTAGTTTGGTCCTGTGACAAAGTTCATTTGGAAATTACTCAGGGTTGCACAACTTGTGTTCCACCAAAACAAATTTAGTTTAGCAGGTAGGACAGCCACAAAAATTGGGGAGATTTTTGAGCCATTAGTAGGCTATCATACATTGTAGGGGTGCTGTGTTCAGCTTGATGGCAGCTAAAACAATAATTTCACAAATCTCAAGGTGTTCATGAACATGAACCAAGGCTTCAGAGTTAAATGCTTTTTGGCCTGGCTAGTCATTCTGAATGTAATGTCTATCATAAAATACACACCATGAAATGTTCTTAAAAATACAACAAAGAAGTAATTAGGCAGCATTCCTTTCAAGGTGTGTATAATCTAAATTTATTGTTGTTTTAAATTTTGCAAGTTAATTTAATTATCCACACTATTTAGGGGGTTCTTGGGAGATTGAGATGCAATACTTCTCCAGAGCATACTGGCAAGTGCCCTAAGAGATGACTTTTACTTGATAAGAGATTCTTAACATGCAGGAAGAGGCTTCCTCGAATGACAAAAACTTTCTCCTAGGTGTGATTCCTTATTGTAGCCCTGCTCATTTGACCTCTCTTCTGTTTTGCTTTCCTCCCCGCCCCTTTTTTTTCTTTTGTCTTGCAGAGTGGATCACTTAAGGAGCCAGAAGCAAACAAAGTCCCACCCCAGCGACCACCTCCTCAAGGTTGTTTACAGTACATTCTCGATTGTAATGGCGTTGCAGTAGGACCAAAACAAGTCCAGGCTACTTAAATTACTGAGACCAAAAGCAAGGGTTAAAGCCAAAAAAAGAGGAATCAAACAATACCAGTTTTTGTGCAGTTTTTGCATTGTTTAAGTGCTGACCTGGACTGTGTTTTTTCTATGCAGTGTCAACTATACTGTCTGGTTGTTTATCTGTTCATGTTTGTGTTGTAATGCTTACTTACGTTTCTCTGTATAACTTGTGATTCAGGGCTGTTGTCAACAGTGTACAAGAATTGTGCCTCTACCAAGTCAGTGAGACTGTTTATTATGGATGGCTAGACAGGTTTTTCTTTCTTTCAAGTATTCTATATTGTGGGGTAAAAAAGACTAACCAGCCCAGGTTGAAATTTATATACTTTTGCTTAACTCTGTGAGTACGTGCATTATATTTGTTTGGTTTTTTTTTTAAAAAATGTGCATGATTGATGTAGAAAGGTGATTATAATATTTTTCAAGTCTCATTTAATAGTATGTTGAATGAGGCATCATTAACTTTTGAGTTCATACTTATAGGCAGTGCTTTTTGTGGTAAAAGAAAATGAACTCCTGGAATTCTTCTCTTGATAAAAGTGCAGGGGGTACCAGCACAAAATGGCTGCCAAGGGCAGCAAAAAAGAAGTGACAGAATTCTGTACTGGTTTGTACTGTCGCAAAAAAGTACTGCTTATAGGTAACAAGAAAGACAAGTGCTTTATTTCATTTATTTCCTATGAAATATGAGAGAATTATTTCCAGGAATACATAAATATACTTTATTTTCAATGCAGATTTTTTTATTTTAAAATCTGCATTAAATTATTAGCCTCAGTGCTATAAAAACAGGCCACTTATGTGCAATATTGATGCAAATGTGAGGGTACTGAATGTATTTAAGTTCAGTGACAAAGGTTCTCTAGTGGTTATGAAGTAGCCATCTGGTCTTGTACAAAACTAAATCAAGTGTGTTTACTAGATATTCCTTATCTACAAAATTCAGGTAAGCTAAGCTGTTTGTTAGAGGAAGTCAACAAGGCCATTAAAAGCCTTGCTAGATTAATCATCACCATTTCCAAATATTGGGCTAGCCACATGTTTTTTTTTTAGGATTTAAAAAGTGTGTGGTACATGGACTCAATGTGTGGTTGTTCTGTTCTATATTAGCTGAGGCTATAGCCAAGTAATTAAGATGCAGCTGTCATCTGATCTATCATTCTGAGCGTAAGCAACAGCATATATGAAAGTATATTTAACATATGGCTCAGAACAAGTAAAAAGGTTTAGGCTTAGAAGTTCACATTTATGACTCAAGTGTGTGTAAATAATAAATCAAAGTGACCCGACGGGTTTTACTTTTCCAAACTTTCTTATAGCCATAATTGCTTATGACTGTCACATAACCAATGGCTATGTGCATAATCTTAAAAGCAATATCTAGGCAGGGCAGTTAAACTGTTACGGAAAATCTAGCCTGTAAACGTTAAAAGGTGCACTATTATACTAGCTGTGAGCAAGGCAAAGGATTGTGTTTTGTCAATTAGAATCCCATACTAAGGTAAATAGCAGTCCCTAGGTTAATACAAACAAGCCTGTTTTCTTGTGAAACAATGCCAAGGTCTGAATTTATTTTCCTTGCAAACACTGCCAACAAAATTATAGCTCAGTTACCAAGTGGTTTTATTTGTTCTGTTTTGTTTTTAAATTCAGGCTAGTGAGCTGCAAATTTCACGCTGCTTTTGATGGGAATTTCAGTGTTTGTTGGGCATGCCACTGCGTCCTGCCCGTTTTTAGTCTATTATAGTATCATTCCGCTTTTGTGGTCATTGTTTCTGGTTAGTGATCTCTTGATAACTACACGGATGATTTCGATTGTGTAGAATGAGTGCATCCCCTTCAGCCTCAGGTTCACACACGCCCCTCCTCACCTCCAAATCTCAACCCAAGTGAACAAAACAGCCTCCTGCCCTGAGGTGAAGAAATGAACCTACTGACTGAATGCCATTTAATATCAAGCCATGAGTGTTCTTTTGCATGTAGTAGTCTGAGTATTTACAAATGCTTTTGTGCATTGTTTACGAGCTCTGTGTGTGCGCGTGTGTGTGCGTGTGTGTGTGCACACGTGTGCCTGCAGACCTCAGAGAAAAAGAGCTGCATCCCAGCAGGACTTCAGTGCATTTATTGCAAAAGGTCTTCGGAGGGCACACACTGGTTACTTCCTGCCACAGATATTAAGTAAGCCAAAATGTCTCTGCATGCTAGCATGCTTAGGTGCAATATTGTGGGGTATAGGGAACTGATATTTTGCAGTCTAGGATTAATGTCCAGGGGGTTGGTGTGTGTTTGGTTTATTTTATTTTTCCCTTTCCTTTTATTTTTGTAAAAGCTTTTTTATTATTGTTGCTGCCTTTTTGTACCAAACCAGCTGCAAGAAAGTGAGCAAATGCTGAAGTGTGATTGCAGTATATATTTTGTGAAATATCTTGTACAGCTTAATGTGCAATAAAAAAAAGTTACATCTGTCTTCAGTGTATAGTTTCTGGCATATAAGCCTCAATATCTAAATGGAGGGGGGGGAGTATTTTCTGCTCAGCAAAGAAAAGCTAAATGAGAATGTTTGTTTTAGGGTACAGAACTGATCCGCCTCAGTAAAGCCTCATTAAAGCCCAGATTCAAAATTCCACCGGTCTCCTGAAAATAGAACCTGTTGATCTTGAACTTACTTCCGAAAAAGACATAAGCCCTATACATGCTGCATGGCATGTTCAGGAAATGTGTGAGTGGTGGGGTTGGAATCATACCTGCTTGCTCCAACTGCGTCCTGTGCATACCCAGTATGGCTTTTTAACAGACCTACATGCATCGAATAGCCAATCTGCATATACAGCTTATTTACATAGAAAGTCAGCTCACAAGCTCTCTGTTGAAATCGGCAGGGCGAGGGGCGGAGCCAGCAAGTATGATCTCAACTCCTCATCTACCTATGAACAGGCGTAGTTTCATTTGAGTGGAAGTGTCTTACTCCTTGAGCCTATAAGTCTGCCCTGTTTGCAGTGCACTGAGGCACACATGGAATTCTTCCTTAAGAGAGTTTCCCCATCGCTTTGCTGAAGAGGTCATTTCTGTGCTTGCACGTGAATGGGAAAGCCCTTGGAAACAAATAGCTGATTAGAATAGCCCGTGGGACTTATCCTAAATCAGGCCATAGATGCATCTAGCTCAGCGTTTGTCTACACTGACCAACAGTGGCTGTCTAGTGTTTCAATCAGGTGTTGTTCCCTGGAGATGCCAGGAACTGACTGTGGGACCTTTGGCATGCAACGCATATGCCCTGCCACCGAACCACAATCCCTCCCTAGCCCAGTGGAATTTATCCCCCCCCCCCCCCGCGCCATATTACCAACATGGGGCATGGCTGATTTTGACGGGAAATGTCTCAGTTCCCCTTGGGCTCATAGAACTAATTTCATGATCCTTTGGTTCCAGGCCAAGGAATTTCATAATGCCAGAGTTGGTGCAATGCTACGCTGTGATATAACAGTGGAGCACTTATCATAAGCATTCATATGTTGGCATAATAAGTCAAGCTATAAACCCATTTAAATGTACCTCAGAACATTGGACCCTTTAAGATCACTGTGACTAAATTGGTTCCCCTTCAGGTAGTCTAGCTTAACTGGTAGCCTTACAAAGGTGAAGCAGATTGCATCTGGTGAGATATACTCAATGTACTTTCAAGCACCTGCAGTTCCTGTCTCAGCTGCATACTTAATAAACATGGAGCTACACCGGATTGATATTCTCTGATAATTAAACAGTGGCTACTGCTGTAAGGGCGCATGCTTTGTCTTTTTCAGAAAGGCTCTTTAGGGCCCACTGAGTAGCCACTGCAAGTCTGTGTGCTTCTATATGGCATTTAAATAAGCAAGAACGGCAACAAAAATCCTAGCCCCCCTCCCCTTAGCAAGAAATAGTGTTGTTGGTTTACATTACCATATGCAGAACCATAAAATACAGCTTCCTTCTAGGCATAGCTCCCATTGCAATGGAGCAGTAAAGAAATATTTCTTACCATGGAAGTTCAGAAACAAAATAGAGAAATGTTGCAATGAATGTAGCTTGTAAGTTACCATTGCTAAATTAATACTTTTTTTAGGGCACCTTGGTATCAGTGTGGCACTTCTGCAAGTTACATGGATTTATGGCTAATGGTATCAACAGCAAAGATGTGGCTCGCCTATCCTAGACACGCTGAACTTTATTGGTTCCAAGTTTATATTTGTAAGTGTTAGATATAAGAGCTAGTGCAAAATTACTGATGCATTATGAAGTTTTTCTTGTACTGAACCTAGGGGGCCCAGTGCAACCCCAAGGAATGCAATCACAAAGCCAGGAGCCATTGCAACCACAGCGTGCGTTCCCTCCGGGGCAGTCAGCAAAGCCCTCGAGTTCCCTGCCTCCACGTCCACCGGGCCCTGCAATTCAACCACGTGCTCAGGCCCCAGGTCCTTCAAGCGCTGGGCCACCTGCGGACACAGAGACGAAACCCTCCACAGCTCCACCTCAGAAACCTCCAGCACATCCGCAACTGAAGTAAGGCTTTTCCTTTATTTTCTCCACACTTGTTTCATATGCTTTCCTTTGCCAGTGAGGTTTGAATACAATCTGTACAGATCCCCTGTGGTGGTGTTGTTGTTGTTGTGAGCATGTAACATCTTTGCACCAGGTTGACCTGAAGCAGGGAAATTTCCAACAAAGGCAATAACAGATGTTGAAAAAGCTCTCTGGTAATTTGCAATACATGCAGATTTCTGCTGCCACGAGGCCAAATTTGATAATGGGTCATCCTCTGTTTCTGCCCACCAACCAAAAAGGCACTGACTCATTTTTGAATGTGCTGTCTGTAAGTCAGCTGCTGAGGAAAAGAAGGAAGCCTTATCTACTTAAACTTTTAACCTTTCAGCCACTCAAACAACAACAGATTTTCAGTTTAAAAAGGCTGCTCCAAAAGTCCATGATACATTTTTCATCCAATTTTTCCCCAAACGCTCCAAAGCTATATGTAGGCATGTGTAGGGCTGTACCCAGTCAATCCAAATGCAGAAAGAGAAAGACATACTGGTGTAAGGCCAGTAACACAGAAAAAGAGGAAATTGGTCCTAGTCAGACATTTGGTACCTTGGACATTTAAACCAATGTGTTCAGTGCCAGTCTGAAAGAGACTCTTCTACTCAAGTAGGGGTTTTCCTTGGCAGCAACCCTGACTGATGGGCACCAACCTACTGAAATGGGCTATTGTTTGTACCAAATGCCTGGATATATAACTGTTGGGTGGAGAAAGAAAACCAAGCATAGGCGCGACTCCATGGGCTTGAGGGGCTCAGCCCCTCAAAAAATTTTTGGGGCTACCCCCATAATCCGGCGGGCCCCTTCCAGCAGAGCGCGGCCGTCCCCGCCTCTCCTCACCGTGGAGCGGGAAGAAAACAAGTCCCGACTTCCCACAGCCAGCTTTAAGCCGAGCCACATTTGCATATTCATGAGCTTATTTATTATTCATGAGCTTTCCCGGGCCCCCCCAATATTTTTTCTAAGTCCGCGTCCCTGAAACCAAGTAATCTGCAGTTACATCCCACAGCTCTGGCCATATTGGAATCTTACATAATGGCAAAGAATCTTTGCCGACACTATGTACAGCAGCAGCAAGGAAACAATAGTATTAACAGCACATACGGTCTTGCCAAATAATGTGCAGACAGATTGCAAACTCAATATATATTTATCTATTATAAAATGCATATCCTGCCTGACGCTATCCAGCTTTCAACAAGAATTAACAACTAACAATAAGCAAATTATGAAATATAATAAATAGCAAATAATTAAAACAATACAATGCAGTGTCCTTAATGCACATGCAATACAAATTCTAAAATGCCTTCAGTTGTGCTTGTAAATATTAAATTCATGATTATTGAACTCTATACTACTGTATATTTTCCCTACAGGGCAAATAGCAGCTGGCAGGACAGGAACTTGAAACATGAAGCAAACACAATCTAAAAAGCCCAACTACAGTTATTAACTTAAAAAATGGAAGAGATCGTGCTCATGGATCTCCCACCTTAATCTCCCCATTAATGAGATTAAGTACAACTGCTTGGATACTAAGAAATGTTAACTCAAGAGGATTCGTGGAAGGATCATGTGCCTCTCTGGAGGTTGGGGGGCTTCCTGTATAGATATAGCATGATCAGCTGCATATTGTTTTCAAAAAAAAACACCCTGAATTTTTGCCTTCTGAAACAAAAGTGGAAGGAACACGGGGGAAATAAAGGATGACAGACATGATTAGCCCATCATGAAGAGCTGTTCCATAAAAAAGTATATGAACAAAAAATGTGGCTATTCTGCAGTAAACACCTACTGTGGAATCATGGAAATGAAAAACAGGGGCAGATGTGAAGGTGGCAGTGGAATCCACATGAATTGTGTCCTCCCCCCCAAAACACTCCTTTCATTATTTTCTGAGACCAGCTTATCTCATTAGAATACACATAGCTAAAGTCTTCGCTATATCAACAGCTGTAATAGCATAAGGAAAATAAACTTGAATGAAATATTGCCTGGAACCTTTCTAATGGAAATAGTAAAATGTTTTATTTCCCTGTTTCATTTTACCTTTATTCTCAAATGAGATTTTTTTTAAAAAAAAATCCATTATCCAGAGAAAGAGATTTTGAAAGTCTTCACTTGTATCCCAGTCCTAAGTAACTGGGCTAGTGCCATCTGCCTGCCATGCCAGAGTAACACCCCTGGAATTGCCAACATAAACCACAGCTTGGGAAGTTGCCCTCCTAACTGAGATCAGCATGTCCCATCCTAATCCTTTATTTCCTTTGATGGAAAGGTGTTAGGGTCTTTCCTGAACACTTGAAAACTGTATGCATGTGGTGTGCCATTGAGCCTTCCTTGACAGGCTCACAGCCTGAGTCACAGGCTTATTCCCATTCATATTTTAATGTTCAAAATGAAAAAACAAACATACACAAACTCAAATTGCCAATGGGATTAACTGTACTCTGTGCATTTGGCATGTATGTGCCTTGCATTCTCACCCACATGCTCTTGCTTAACATGTGCGTGCAGGTTATTAGCCCATGAACAAATATTTAATTAGGCCGTTCATTTTTGAGTTGCTAATCAAGTGAAGCCTTGCTTTGCCTTTCCACCGCCTCCTTTCCGTGAACACTAAACCCAAGTACAATGCAAACGAGAGACAGAACACCACATGCAGCACGCCTTGTTCTGGTTTTCCACAAAGTTTGGGGTTGAAAGCAGACTGGCTATGAATTGTTGCCTTGTGCTGAGACATAGTACAGGAAGCGCAAGCACCTCACAACTTTTTCCTTCTACTGGCCTTAGATTTTATAGCATAACGAAAGCCCAACAGTTTTGCTACTGACCACACTCTACATACCTGCATTCAGTCAGATCCTATCAAATTAAGAAATATTGTTCCAGGGAAAGTCACTTCAGGAATATAGAGCTAAACTGAATATATTTGTTCCGAGGTGCCGTTCAGCAGCCATTTTCTGTTGAGCTGGATTATAGAATCATAAAACTGTAGAGTTGGAAAGGGACCATGAGGGTCATTTGGTCCAACTCCCTGAAATCCAGGAATCTTTTGCCTAATGTGGGGCTCAAACCCACGACCCTGAGCTTAAGAGTCGTATGCTGTACCAGCTGAGATATCCTTACATTGGATGCAATCTATAAAAAGTAAAGCGTGTTTAAGGCTGTAATCCTAAACACATTTACTAGGAAGTAAATCCCATTGACAACAATGGGTCTGACTTCTGAGGAAACATGCTTAGGATTGTCCCACACATCCCACTGAAATTAATGTAAACTAAAATTAATTAAGTCCTCAGGACTGTACTCCTAACCATCTGAGAACTAAATGCCACTGAAATGAGTAGAACAGGTTTCCAAATAAACATGGTTAGGATTAAGCAACAATTCCATTCACTTGAATGGGACTCAAGCACTCATGTCTCCTAGAATGTATGGAGATAATTTTTGGTCCAGAATCTTTTTGTATGCCCTGATGGACAAAATGGTTCGTGTGGATTTCTGTGACGCCTTCCCCTGCAATGTGTTGCGTTCTGTGTGAAATAGCCCAGCACAATACATATACATTGCCGAACAGCTGGTCATGGTGGTCAGGCCTGAGCCTGCATCCATATCTCTGCCCAAAACACATTATCATCAGTGACAAAGCTAACAATGAGAAGGAGATATGGTGGGCAGAGGTCTCTATGTCCTGCTTCCATTGTATGACATGGTAAACAGAATTCTGAGGTATGGCTGTAACAGACAACATGCATTGATGTGCATTTTGCTTTGTTTTTATCTTGCAGCAAATCACAGTCTCTGACCAACGCCTTCAACTTCACTGAGTCATCCTTCTTTCGGTCATCTGTGAACGAGGACGAAGCAAAAGCTGAAACCATCCGAAACTTGAGAAAATCCTTTGCCAGCCTCTTTTCTGATTAGCCATATAATGTTTGGTTTTGTGCGTCTGTAACACATTTCAAAGTTTACCGCCAACATAATTTTGCAAACATAATTTCCTTGTGAATGACCCTCCTTTGCTGTTCCAAGTGTTGTATTAAGCAATATGCTAAACTATTTTTAATAAGGGACTATAATGAGATAGACTTCAGGTATTGGGGGGGGGACACACCCGGCTTTTTTAAAAAGCCAGAGAGGAAAAGCTATACAGCAGAATGCTTAAAGTCCTCATCAACTGTGATAATGTGGCCTTACCGTGAAATGCACTAGGTCATCACATTGGACTCCCCTGTGTGAAATCATTAGAGCAACACACCATTACATAGTGAGTTTTCTCCAGCATTCAACTCACTGCATGTTTGTTTGTTTGTTTGTTTGTTTGTTTTGTTTGTTTCAGGTGTTTTGTTCTGCAAGGGTACAGTCTTTAAACCTGCTTTCTTGCCCCCAGATCTTTAGGGTACAGCTTCACAGGGCTGTTTCCTGTTAATCTCCTTCACCTTGTGAGTAACTAAGGCAGTTTTCTACCCCAGCAAGCTTTCCGTCAGATGAATGTATCGTTCTGATATGCTGCTAGGAGCAAACCTTGGAATCAACCATTGTTCTAGAGCTTTGTGTCTATAATATTGTATCCCCATATGTCTGTTAGACAATTTTTTTGCAAACTGTTAATGGTAGCCTTTGATTTGTAAAAGACCATGCATGAGCTCATGTTCTCCATAGTTCCATGTTACCTTCCAATAAATGCAAAACCCTTTGCCTGGCAGTAAACACACTTCTGCAGGACTGGTCTGCACTGTAGTGTTGATTTCTCTAACAAACAGCCCAAATTAGATGGCAAAGCATTATTTTTCTCATTGTCAGCCGTACTTATTCATCAGCCAAAAAAAAAAAATCTATCTCTGTTTCGCAATACTTGACAGAAACCACACACTTCTGGACTATACGGTTACATTGCTGAATACTTGATGGTACACATGCACTTCCTGCTCTATGAACCATGGAATATGTTCTACTTAGCACCAGATTATAGGACCACACTATATCGTGATGCACTGTACTCACACACCCTCTACCACTTTCCTTTCGTGCTAATCCCACTGAATTATAGCATGCCTGGTTCTTATGCTAGCCATGCTTTGCAAGAAGTAAATGTTTTAAGTTTGCTTGCTCTTGAGAGCATGGGTGCTACTGCCCTGTTCTGTGGTACAGCAGACTTATTCAAACGTACGCCACACCAAGCCAAATGCAGCCCACCAACCATCTCTAGTAGCCTAGAGGGGGTTTGCTGCCTGAGTGTGCTAAAGGGAGGAGAGAACACTTGTCAAGTACCCAGTAGACTGAAAGCTAGTAGGCTGCATGTGGCTCTGTAGGCTCAGATCTGAGGAGCTATGATAAAAGGAAGAGTCCTTGGGTATCAGCTACCAAATTGTTTTTCCTTCCGTGCAAACTCTCCCTGAGTACATAATTGCATGGAAAAAGTGATGTGTGGAGCAGAGGCTGTATTTCTGTCATTATAAAGGTGGCAGAAATGACTTCCACAGTTGCATTTATTTTTATTTACAAACATATCTAGTTTCATGCTATAGATGTACAGTGGTACCTCGGGTTAAGTACTTAATTTGTTCCAGAGGTCCGTTCTTAACCTGAAACTGTTCTTAACCTGAAGCACCACTTTAGCTAATGGGGCCTCCTGCTGCTGCCACACTGCCGGAACACAATTTCTGTTCTCATCCTGAAGCAAAGTTCTTAACCCGAGGTACTCTTTCTGGGTTAGCGGAGTCTGTAACCTGAAGCGTATGTAACCCGAGGTACCACTGTACTGTACATATCCAAGGACAATACTATGAAGCAAAATCTTCTGAGAAAAGGACTATGCTGACCTACCCCAAGGCTGAGGGTAAGTCTGCCACAGGAAGCAGGACAGGCCTATTTACACAGAAATCTTCTCACACTAGAAAAGGAAATCTGTAGCATACTTTTATCCCGAGGGTTAAGCCAGCCCTAGCTGTTCCCCAGTGCCACACTGACATCATTGTTTGTTTGTCTAACTTGGGGTTCTGTTATTTCTAGTGAAAAGTTATTTGATCCCCCCTCCTTTTTTTAAAAGGAGGCATCCAGAGATAATAAGATGCAGTGCTTAGTCCCATTTAATGAATCCAATAGGAGATACCTTTAGTACATCAGCTACATAACTGGAGCATAAATAGCATTTAGAGTTTTCATAAGAAGCTTGTGAAAAGCATTGCTCTGTGCAGTGTTGCAAGTTGCATTGCAGCTGTACTTTCCGATCTACTCTCAGAAGATAGCACAAAGCAGTTGCAAGGGCCAAAGGGAGGGGGGAATTCTGAATTCCAAATATAAGATTTGCCATCAAAGTCCAAGAAACCAGAAACTTCCAGCGGCCAATTCAAAAGGCCTGGCTGAATATTTGTTTTTAGAAGCCCATTTCAGTTTGTGCATGGCCCAACAGAGAATGAAACTTGCATCTGAAATTGGTGAACGAAAGGTTTTTGAGCCTCTGGGCCAGGGATGGGGAACCTGTGGCCTTCCAGTTGTTATTGGACTGCAACCCCCATCATCCCTAACCACTGGCCATGCTGGCTGGGGCTGATGGGAGTTGGAGTCCAACAACTTCCTCGGTAGTAGTGCAGGTCTTTGTACCAGTCCCTGTAGAGCAGAGCATTTTTGTTCTTGCCCTCAAACTGGCTTTCAGGGGCAGCTTTTTCTGCCTAGCCTGTACTGCAGGCTGTGTGAGGTGTGTGCACAAGCCATTGGTGTGGCCATATAGATTAATTTGGTCACATTTTGGCAGGTAGGTGTGCAAGCTGGAAGGGCTGTATGATAACCAGATGAGCACTTTTAGGCATATTCAACTGCTGAATAAGGAAAACATTTGGACCTGCCCTGTCTCAGTCACAGGCAGTGCATGCCATTTTGCCCCCTGAGGTGAAAGGGCCGGAGCCTCCCTTACTTGGGTTGTGTGACAGGTTCCAGAAATATCTTGCAGATTTCCAGTAGGGCAGGCAGGGGTGCTGCCTCATGACATTCCACCGCCTGAGGCAGCTGCCTAAGCCCACCTCATAGGCAGGCCAGCCCTGCTCAGTTACCAGGAGTTTTGTGGCCCTGAGCAGGAGCTGGGATCAAAAAGTCTCCCTACTCAGGACTCAGATAAGGGGCTGTGATCAGGTCATGCCCTTCCCGTGGGCCCTGTGGCTCGCCTAAATTAGGTGGAGTTAGTGCTGATCCTGCATAGCATCTACAGTCTCTATTTAGATCTGCATTGAATCAAATGTGGGCCTAGTTCATCCCCACATACTTCAGTCTAGCCTGAGGCTCCCCACCCCTGCTCTAGCACCCTGAGGCCACTTATAAATGACAACAAAGGAGCAATTAGATCTCCCATAGACGTTCCAAAAGGACCCAACTGTTGATCAGTTTGCTTATTTTGTTAACAACTTTTACACACCTCCCAATAGCAACATTTAAAATAAAATATTAAAATACAGACCAAAGCCAAAATGGAAAACAAAGCACGCAAACTCAGCAAAAATTCATTACAGCAAGTCTGTCAAGAGCATTAAAGACTTTTTAAATGGATCGTTTAACATTTTTTAAAAAAACACTCCCTCAAGCATTTAAATTACTAAACAGGAAGATAAAAGCTCTGGCACTGAAGATATCGCAAAGTAGGTGCCAGTAAGGCTTTCTAGAGAGGACAACCACAGCCAGGGTGTCTCCACTGAAAAGTCCCTCTCCCCAAACCAACCTGCTACATCTCACTCAGCAAGGGAGCCCTGGGGAACACTTCAAAAGATGCCCCAAAGGTCCAGCTAGGAACATGAAGGAGGAGATAATCCTTTAAGTAACCTGTACTCAAATCAAGGTTAAAAGCAGCACTTTGAATTTGATCTGGAAACAGCCTGTAAATCAAAGCACTGGCATGGAATCATTGAGTTGGAAACAGTGCTGCTTTTCTAGAACAAGAGGTGCCAGAACACACCATTAACACCTCCATTGTTTTCTTATAATGGCAATGGGGGCCCACCTGAGAGGTGCCGAAACTGAGTTCCAGCAAGTTCTGGCTGGAAAAAAAGCCCTGGTTGGAAGGGATCTTAAGAGACATCTAGTCCTACCCCCTTCCATGCAGGAATCTCTACATGGTCCCCTATCCAATTTGAAACCATAATGGATCCTGTGCTAGCAGTTTTATTGCTGCGGTCCTAGTCCAATAGTCCCAGTCCCAGTTAATACGCTTGCGGCTGTATCTGGACTACGTGAAGTTCCTAGATCATATTCAAAGGCAGACCTATGTACAGAACAGTACAGTAATCCAAGTAAAATGAGTGCAAAATCCATCTGCCAGAATGCTTATGGGGCTGGACAGCTTGACAACATCACACCAATTTTGCATCAGTTGCATCAGTTACCCATTTAGGGTGACTAAAGCAGCAGTGACAACACCATTGCATTTGCCAAGGTAGGGTAGGGTGAGGTTAGAGGAAGCTGTTGGCTGGTGGTGTTGACATCCCACAGCTGTGTGCGCACACACACCTGGGAGGCTCCAACCCGAGCACCCCAAAGATGCTTCTGCTGCACAACCGCCCCCTCGCTGTATCGCCAGCCCAGACCATGCAGCTCCACCACTGCTAGGAGAGCTTCACTACCACACACCGCTGCTTAGTACTAACTTTTAAACCTTGAATGGTCTGAGATTGAAGGAGCGCCTGCACCCATGCAGACCTGCATGGGCCCTGAGATTAGCCTCAAAGGCACTGCTCTCTGGGTCATCACTGAAGTCCATCTGGTTTAATTCCCTCTATTGTGGCCTTTATGTGGCTCACAAATACTTTCTATTCTGCCAAGCATTTTTTTTGAGCCACAAATGTTTTTAATCTGATTTACAAAGAGAGAGAGAGAGAGGTTCAGTTAGTTCTGGGTTTTTTTTAATTGTAATGTTATTACCAAAAGTCACCTTGTGAGGGATTTCTCTAAAAGGCAGGACAGGTAAATAAATTCCCCACACAAGTTCCCCTATGAAAGTGAAGCAAATTTATTAAGGGGGAAACAGACCAGAGTGTAGGACAGTCGCCTTTAGCCTCCAGCATGCAGAAATTCGGCAGTGCACATTTCCCCCGTCATTGTTTATGTATGCCAATGAAAAGGTCGAATTTCTGCCTTCACCTGCTGTTGAAAGTATCGATACAGGGCCAGTACAAAAGCAAAAAAATAGTGTGCAGTTGAGTAACCGCAGGTGGTGCTCTCATCTCCAGGAATAGGAAGCAAAGAAGCTATCAGAAGGTGTGGCTTCCTCGTAAGAATAAATCCCACATCTCTCTATGAACAATCATGTTGTGTTGCAAGCCTGAAATATACAAGGTTACTTAATACAGGCAAATTATCTGGTGATTATCTTCTCCCACCTCTGGGCTTGAAGTAGCAACGGGATTAAAGAGAACAGGCTGCCTCTCACAAGCTTCTGCCTGCATGACACACAATCTGGGTCTATTGGACCATAGCTGGGGCAGCTACTATCAGGCTCCCTCAATATGGGAATGGCTGCAGTTGCAGGAAAGACTTCCCACCTTAAGCAGAGGTTGCCATGGTGATCTGAATCTGATGGCAACCATCAGAACTGTCAGTTAGCTAACATGGAACAGAAGCCATTGATTTACAGAGCATTGAACACATTACGGTGGTACCTCTGGTTACATACTTAATTCGTTCCGGAGGTCCGTTCTTAACCTGAAACTGTTC